ATGTCAATGATTAATTTATGATTTTGCTGTTCTCAGGTTCGTGATTAACACCTGCAAGCAATTAAAAGAGAAGAAGTCATATCTAGTATGGAATGCAGTTGGTTGTCTTGGAGTTTATGCTATGATGGATCTTGTGAAAGAGGTACAGATCCCATGCTAAATAATCAGATTTATTCTTCAAAGGTCATCGAATTTTTAGGCAGCGCACTGTTTATAGCATGGTCTATATAATGGACAGTAATGTCAATGTCTTTTGAAATGTGAGGTCTTATTGTTAAGCTGGTGAAATAAATCCTTAATGCACTTTACTTGAACTAAATCCTTATTTCTCCTTGCAAAATAATCTACCAGTTTCAAAGATTTTCTCATCTATTAGTTTATTTAGAAGTTAATGCTTTGTTCTTGTTGTTAAGCATTGATGTAATGTTGGTATCAAAGGCTTGGCTAAAATATTTCATAGAATTAAATTAGAATTTTATGTAATTTTACCCTGGGGATTGTTGACAGTAATTCGTATCCAAGCAATAAGTTGGATAATAATTAAGAAGTTTGTTTACATTTCTCTCCTTCTTCTTGATCATTGCCTCTCATCTATTTTGATTGTTCTCTCCATCCTTGCCTCCCACCACTTCTTTGCTATCCTTATATCTATAGCCATAATTGTGTCATTATCATTTATGAAAAAATAACATCGTTAGAGGGTGCTTAATCTAAATTTGCTTGACTACAATTTTTCTGAATTTTGAAACAAGTTTCTAAGAAGAATTCATAAAGCTTGTTCATAGTATATTAGACGAAATAGATGATGATTATGCTTGTTATTAGATTTAGATTTTGATGATATGATATAGTGAAGAGTTGTAACTTTGGCAAATTTAACTATTGTATACTCCAATGTAACCAGTTGCATTTGTGAATTGCATTTATTTTGCATTACATTTGTAATGACTTTTAATGAATTTTAATTCTCAAGATGAAAATGAAATTTAATTCTCAATTTCATATTGGGTATTTAGCGCCCATTTAATTAGTAGGAAATTTGATTTACCTAAGTAGTGTGGATTGATGTATTTTTCCTTTAAAAATTCTCTACCCATCCTAATGAAAAATGAGAAGAAAAAAATTTTGGACAATCCTTGTGACTTGCATGTTTCCCCTCTCAATAAACAAAAACTCAATTTCTTATCAAGAAAACAAAGAAGTACTAAACAAAACAATTTTTACTAAATTTCTACCCAACCAAACAAGTGGGGCAAAATAAATCTCAGTTCAATTTCCTTATCATCTTCATTATAAAATCCTTTCTTGTAATTCCTCCAAACTAAAATGTTAGTATAAGGCTAATGATAATGATGATCTGAAATATTGTTGAGCTTTAATTTAATTGAAGTTGTTTCTTAAACCTAGGTGAATACCATTCAGCATTGCGGGGGACAAAAAACTGCAGATGGAAAGAGATTCCGTACCGGTGGTGGTATTTTATGGAATATTTTAAAGAGTCGTGAGCCAAATGCATACAAAGAAATTATGGCAAAGGGCAAGGAGTTTGAGGTAAGCAAGCAGTATAGATTAATACTTTCTGTTTCTGGGTTTTGCAACATTATTCAACTCAATCTTTAATTTATGTTGCTTATGCAATTAGGAAAGGATCTCCTCCCAATATAATGTATTAATTCTTTGCTGGGCTCCACCCCTAATCCTCTCTCTCCTTGTCCCCAGCCCCACCTGGGCCAGACTTCCTCGCTGGACCAATCCGGCTGTACAACATCAACAACAATGACAAGCCTTTGTCCCATTATGTGGGGTCGGCTACACGAATCTTTTTTGGTCATTGTGTCTGGTTAAAAGTCAAATTCTCATTTA